GAAAGCAAATGTCTCATAATGTTAAAGGCAATTTTGCTACGATAAATTCTATTGGTCCCTCGATAACTCGGATTTCTAGATAAGTCGGACAGCCATGCCCACCCCGTCGTGTCCGACTTATCGAGTTTCACTGTGTAAAGTCTTTTCGAATCCAAAGTGTCCGCCCATTAGATGGTCGTGGCGTACGAAACAATTTGATCGACTTCTGGCGATTGAATAGCTAGCAAATATTTGCCGATTGTTTTGAGGTTGCTTTTGGTAAAAAAATTTTTGGCATGCATGAATGTTACAACGTGCCTTTCGCCGTTCCAAAAAGTAGTAATTTGTTTTTCTCAATCGCGGTTACTTTCTTCCAATTCTTCATTAGCAAGTTCTGGGTAAGTCGTACGGTAGTCCGTCTCGTAAAAGGTTATCGATAACATTCACTCTTCCACGTTTATAGAATAAACATTGGAGTAGAGTTACTTTATTTGGACAGCGGGCAAAATATCCGCTAACTCATTATTCTTGCCTGGGACATGTATCAGTTCGAAGTCGAATCCGGTTAATTCTTCGATCCATAGACCTAGTCGAATGTTGTCTAATTGTCGGTTCTTAAATGCACTTAGCAATGGTGCGTGATCGGTGTAGACTTTAAATATTGTACCCCAAACATAATGTGAGAACCATTTTTTGACTGCAAGAGCTTCTTTGTCTGTCATACTGTAGTAAGGTTCGCTCCCCGATCACTCTTCACAGTTATTCGCTTACATGTGTATGGGGCGGCATCGCGCCTGACGCGCCGGAGGAGTTCTTCGAATGTGATGTTGCGGGCGACTGGCGGTACAGCATAACACTTCAGCATTCGCCCGCTCAGGCCGGGGATTTTCGTTCGAGCGTACATTATTGGTAATTCGTCTCCTTCAGGCGTTCGTTGTAATAATGCTGCGCTGATTCCAGCATCTGAGGCATCCGTTCGTATTATGTATTCTCGACCAGGTAATGGGTGAGCTAATCGTATTCCGCCTTCTTCGATGGTCTTTTGAAAAACGGATTTTAACTCTTGAAAGGCTTCATGATGTTTTTCTCTCCAAATTCGATCGTTCTTGTATTTTTTCTTAATCCATCTTCTTTTTAGCGCGTACGCGTTTCGATATATTCTTTGAGTAGTTCACTCAGCGTACTGACTATATTTTTGTCGTTGTCCAAAGGGAAATGAAGCCACTTCATCGAAAAATTCCTCCCACAAAATCAATTCCGAAGGTGCTATAAATTCTCCATGTGTCGTTGATCTACTAGAACTCTGTTCATCGGCGTAAGGTGGAATACATGATAAGACCTGATCCTGACTTAGGACTAGAAAAAAATAGGCGCGGGTTCGCAACAGGTTAACTTTAATAACATTCTCCTGGAAAACTCGCAGCATAAGAAAAGTCTATTACTACGTCTACTTTGCCCTATGTACACACTACTCCACGTCCCCAACGCCCGAGTCACAAAGTCGTTACCTGTTTGAGTTGGGAAAGTACGTAACGCTTTACCCCACGCCTTTACTTCCCCTCTCCAAAATTTCTTATCGTCGCCATTCACAGCAGAATCCAACCTCCTCTTCGCGTCTTCTAACTGGTTCTTGACGTCTTCGATGGTTGCCATTTCGTAAAGTTTGATGCTGCGCGATGTGATCTAATACAGTAATATACAGTCAACTGCCTTTAATTCGACCGCCTCCGTTCCGGAGTCATCGGTCGAATTAACGTATAAGTCGAATTAAC